GCTCCACGGCACATAACAACAACAACAGCATGGATTGGTTATAAAAATTTAAAGAGAACACAGAGTTCTTGGCAAAGTTACCTCATCTGTGTTTGATATCATTATAAAAACCTCTTAAAGATCTTTTCAAAGTAATGTAACCCAAACCCAAGTCCACCATTATCAAATCAATTCTGACTCACAGCCACCCACTCCAGTGTTTCCTAGAGGACACATTCTTTGAAGGAGTAGACAGCCTCAACTTTCTCCTGTGGAGTCGCTGATAGGTTTGAAGTACCTGGTGTACAGACCACAAATATACAAGTGCAGCACATATTTTAAACATATATAATTATTTTAATGGTTTAAAAATGCTGTGGCTTGGGATAAAACTTCCAGTGACAACATACAGTGATTAAAATACTGCTTTATCTTAGAAATTTAAATAGAAATGAGACTGACATACTCTGGAAAATACTTACACCCTCAAAATTGTACTAGTGGTGCCAAAGACACTGATGTCAAAAATGTACGTGAAGCTTTTGGAAAAAAATCACCTAGTAAAATGTGAAGTCGGGAAAACAGCAATGCGTCCAAAATGAACACATTTTCTGTTACTTTAACTAAAGTATTACATTAACATAATAAAATGTATTTTAATAAGTTCATCTACATAACTAAAACTTTTGTTGTTATTAAGTATAGTTAAGTCAGTTCAAACTCACTGAGACCCTATATACGGTTTCCAAGAAGCCACTGGTAAGTTTGAATTGCTAACCTAGTATTTAGCAGTCCAGTGCTTATCCTACAGCCCCACAACTTGTTGTTGATGGTAAGCACCACTGAGTCCGTTCTAACTCATAGCAACCCTGCACAGGGTATCTGTGGAGCATTTGGTGGGTTCGATGGTAATGGTTGGTGGTTGTGTGCCCTGGAGTTGCTTCTGATTCATAGCGAACCTATATAGGGTTTCCAAGGCTATAAATCTTTTGGAGAGCAGAAAGCCTCAACTTTCTCTCATGGAATGGCTGGTAGTTTCGAATTGCTGACCTTGAGGTTAGCAGCATGACTTGTAACAACGGTGGGTTTGATATTGTTGTTGTTGTTAAATGCCATCAAGTCGATTCTGACCCATAGTGACCCTGTACAGGGTTTCTGAGGAGTAGCTGGTGAGCTTGAACCACCGACCTTGTAGTTCAAACGGCTTTGCAGGCTGGCACATTAACCCACAGTGCCACACCAACACTCCTACTTATTCCTTCTCATTGGCAGATGGATAGATCCTTACTTTTTTTTTTTTTTTTTTTAAATCAAACTGCCTATTTGACAGCTCTATTTTGTCTTAAGTCGTTATAAAGTGCCGGCGAGTTAGTTCCAACTTATAATACTCTCTATCAGATTTCCGAGGAGCAGCTGGTGGGTTTGAACTACTGACCTTTTGGTTAGCAGTCCAGTGCTTATCGTACAGCACCATACCAGGACTCCAGGATGTCTAAGTTGACAACTTACAATAATGAAAACAGAATTCCTAATGTTCCACCCCAACTTTTGCCTCAATCTCACATGCTGCCAATTTTCCTCATGTTAATAAATTACTCAAACCAAACATCTAGGAATTTCTTTTTCCTTCAGCTAAATCCAAGCCCTGTAAGGCAGCTTCCAAAATCTTACATACAAATGTATTTGTGTCTGTCTCAATTACTACCACCCTTGTCCATGTCCTACTTTCTCTCATGTGGACTACAGCCATAGCCTCCTGACCAATCGCTTTGGTTTATACTTACCCCTTTTCAATCCTTTCTCCACATAGAAGCCAGAGTAATCTTTTAATAAGGTAAATATTAACATCATGACTAACCTACATGGCTTCTCATTGAACTGAGAATAAATTCCAAACCCATTTAATCCCCTACCACAATTCCTTGGGCTCATGCTGCCTCCTGGGAGCTCCTCAAGCACAGTAAGTTTTAACTGCCACCTACCTGGACTGACCTTTCCTCACCTGCATGTGTCTGATCACAGGTTCCACATCCCCTGCTCAGATAGGCCTTCCCACATCACTGCCTCATGTTCTCGTATCACCCTACCTGAGTTCTGACTATTGGGTATTTTTTTTGTTGTTGTTTAATAATCCATCAGTTTACTGTCTATATCCTCCAACTAGATGTATATTTCATCAGAGTTATCTGACTATCTGATTCACCATCTGATTCTATTACTTAAAACAGTACCTGTCACATAAATATTTACTGAGGAAAGGGAAGAAAAGAAAGAAGAAAGAAAGGTAGGTAGTCAGATATTGGCTCCCAAAAGAACTGCATCAAAAGGGAAACAGTCTTTTGAGTGTTTGAATGCTGGTGTATTTGTTGAG